AAATAATTTATTAGTATGGATTGATTTATTTTAAAATATAGATTGATTTATTATTGTAGTGGTATGAATTGGTTTATTTTAAATAATTTATTAGTATGGATTGATTTATTTTAATTGATTTATTTTAAAATATGTATTGATTTATTTTAAATAATTTATTATTGTAGTTGTATGAATTATTTAAATTTCAGTATTGTAAAAAAATAATTATTTAAATCTCAGTATTGCAAAACTCTTTTAAGTTTAAAAAATCAGTTTATTTATATTTCAGTTTATTTATATTTCAGTTCATTTTAGCAGTCTGCAGATGTTAAAAACAAAAACAGTCTTCTTCTTGCAGACTTTTGGTCCACCTCTTCTGCTGCAGATGCCTGCAGATGTGGTCCGCAGACTGTAGACCTTTTACCTCTGCAAAAACAAACACCACCTTAGTGTTTGCCACAGCTGTCTTCGAGCAATACCATCATTACTACCATAAATAGCCGAAATAAACATTGGAATACCTTTGTGAGATCCTCTAACAGTAATGCATTGAGCAGAATTTTATTGGAATACCTTTGTGAGATCCTCTAACAGTAATGCATTGAGCAGAATTTTGAATGACAGACAGATTAATACCCTTCCTCCAAAGTACCCAAATTCTTCCATTACTAGCATGTTCGTAGTTGAAACAGAAATTCCAGTTCTGGAATTTAGAAGTAACGATCTACTCTGCTTTGTCCACCTTCACTCTAGTCTCCAATAAACAAAGGAGGTCAACATTATTCTGAGTGGCTCGAAGAACCACTTTATTCTGTTTTAGGGGACTGTTAAGTCCTCTAGTGTTCCAAAAACTAATTATCATTGAGAAGGCGATCCCAAAGAACCCCCTTGACCTCCAGTCGTGAGACCTTTAGCTCTCTCAAGATGATGCTTCTTTTTTTATTTTAGTTCTTTCACTAATTCTACTACTCCCAAAGATGCAGCCCTTCGTTTCCTTTGGAAGCTTTCTAAACTGTTAGGAATCTCTTCAGCAGAATTGAGTAATTCAAATCTGTTGGATGAACCTGAAAACTGAGTTTTAGCATTTTCTTTCAATGGTCTACTTCTACCCCTTTTAAGCACTGCTGGTTGTTCATTTCCTACTTCATTGACTTCAGTTGGCTCATGGGTTTCGTGGTCTGAAGTAGGGACATTAACACTGCTCGAGTCAGCAGCAGTAACTTCTTTTGTATTCTTAGTAGCAGCATCATTAGCATAATTAAGCTTTTCAATTTGATCAGGAACATTAACTTCAATCTCAACCTCCTTTCTCCTTGCATTAGCTTCACCACCAACAACAGTATCCTTCTTAGCTGCATCAATTGAGTCATTGATATTTTGTAAATTTGCTTCAGCAGTAGCAGTAGGTTGGTACGCAAATTTCTCAGGTTCTTGCAATACTTCTATCCCTCCAACATGAGTGGCTGCTATATTGGGAATTGCTGCCTTCTTCTTTTAGACTTGAGGGACAGTTTGGTTAGAGGTAGTTTTAAGCACACAACCTTTTTCATTGTGACCAAAAACATTACATCTCCTACAAGAGTGTGGGAGCCAAGAAACCTCAACATTAATCGAGGTTGTTTGGCCATCTTTCAAAACTACCTCGATGAGCTTAGGTATAACATCTTTAACACCTATTTCTATACAGACTTTAGCAAATTCAAGTCTGGATTTCGTAGCAGTGATAGTGTCCGTGGAGATAGGAATTCCAATGGCACTTGCAATATAGCTTAAGCCTGTTCTAGAAAATAATTCAAGGGGAACATTGAACAGGTGTACCCATACTGGGATTTTAGACAAGCTGAAACTAAGTCTTTTAAGGTTAGGCTCCCAATTCCTAAGGATTAAGGGCTTATTATGCACATGCCATGGACCGTTTTGCAATACCCAATCTCTAGCTGATTCGCTGCTAAAAGAAAAAACAAAGATGTTGTTCCCAGCAGAACTGACCTGTAATTGGGATCCCAACAGAGCTTTACTCCATAAGCTTTCCACTGTCCGATGAAGAGAGGTGAAGCTTGGAGCAACTCCCAGAAATTGGCCCACTAGGGATAGTCTCCACTCGGAAATTCCTTCTTCGAGGATCTCTGAAGGCGGGCAGACAGTCGGAATACCATCGCGTAGATTAGGAGGAAAATAATCTAGGTTTTGATCAGTCCAGCCCCCAAACAACTTACGCCAATCCATTTATCTAGCAATGAAGCACAACGAACCAGAACCAAAAGAGAAGAATAACAGCAGTAATGAACAAAGAAGAAATCAGAGCAAAATCACCGACGAATCAACGGAGAAATCAGGTTCCATTAGACCTGCTAATGTGCATCCAGAGGAAACCGTTAACGTGCGCCATTTTTTGATTGGACGCTTTTTTAGTACCTTACCATCTCCAATTCCATCATTAGAACTTTTACTACATCTTTCAAAATACATTTGCCTTGCCTCAATGGCAATTTCCACACTTTTTTTAAGCAATGATTCACTTTGTTCTCTGGAAAAGCCTTTCGCTTCGAACCCCTGAATCGTGGCCTGTTAAAGATGCATAAATTTGCATCAGTTGCCTAATGAGAAAGATAGAGAGAGAGAAATGTTTTATCTGATACCTGATAGGATGCTGTGATAATAATATCCACGCCAGCTTCAAGGTAGTCAAGGTGTACCTGCTCAAAATCATTTGGTAAATTATCTAGAGAAGCCCTCTTAACATCACATGCAGCCGGTTTAAAACCACTTTACTCTTAACAGGTGCTGCAAAGTGACAGAAACACTAGAAATTCAATGATTGGAGTTCTTTGTTATGAAAAAACAAACTTGGACACGTTTTCAACAAATTGATGTTACAGTGACACCAATATTCACAAAAATCATGGATAATATAATCTAGCCAGACAATCAATAAACTTAAAAAGTGCAAACAGAGACACAATCATATGCTTGCTTGTTCATCACCTCAACTTTTGACCATTAATACATTTTGGCGTTAATCTCATTTACTTGGACCATGCATGCTTGGATAGTATGATTATCTTGAAATTGGGTTAAGTAAAATGAACCTAGGTCTATCTTATTTAAAAAGACAACTGGCAGTCATTTTGGATATTGAACCTTTCTGATATGGCTTATGAAGCCTGGAAGAGAACTACGCTTTCAAAAATCCAAATCCCAGTATCCTGTTTATTGTTTTCCCTTTTAACGATTTCTGAGAGAGAGAGAGAGAGAGCAAGTGCAGACATGGACAACTGACTAAAAATAGGTCAATTCTTTCATCACAATATTAGAATAATCAATATGTGAGCCCAAACTCAAGCACTTAATCATAACATTTACTTCTTTGTATCAGTAAAATTTATATAAAAAGCAATAGAACTCAAAACTGAATCGTGAAGACGTGCCCAATAACCCTTAAATGCCACTGACCTGGCTCACCAGATCAAAACTGGACCACCTCCACACTGTGGTCCTAGTGTTCTATACATACGTACATAAATTTATATACTATACTGCATGCATACCAAACCAGAACAAGTCTCGTTCTATTTAATTTTTTATAATCAGAGCAAATGCAGTTCCATATGAAAATAAATTATAACGACAGTAGAACAACAAATCCAAATTCCCATATAGATATCCACCAACCATTCATTTTTCACTGCTACCCCATTCCTCTTCCTTCCATGAAAAATGAAGACTTACTTGCATTCAAGCAAAACCAATTCCTACTTCCTATTATAAACATCATTGAATTGTATATAAAGATATAGTGAAAATAAACAAAATCAAGGTTAAAAAAAGTAATTTTGAAAGAGGGAGGGAGAGAGATTTACGGAGCGAATGAGGTGAGGAGAAGTGAGGAGACATTTGGCACTCCAGAGGGGATCGTTGAGGTCAGCACCGTGGCGTTCCAGCTCCGTCGCCAATACGCCGTCCCATCTGACGAAGGAACTCCTTCATCAATGAAGGCGTCGCCGGGATGTTGAAAGCCTCCATTTGCTTTGTTTAATCTAAACGACATAGATCGCCTCCATTTTTTAGATTGATTCGGTTAAAGATCAATCAATACTTGAATCAAATTTGATTCGAACTCGAACTCCACTCAAATTCTTAACGAACTAAAACGAGTTACTTAATCGCGATCTACTCGGAAAAAATGTTATATTATAATTTTAGATTTTTTTAAAATTACATTATTAAAAATATATTATTGATAATTATAAATTTTTAAAAATATATTTTTAAATGTAATATAAGATTTTTGTAGGTTTGAATTCGAGTTTAAGTTCGAGCTTCAATCGAGCTCGAGTCTCAAGCTTCAATTGAGCTCCTGGATTTTTTTTTAATTCGAGCCTTTTCGAGTTCGAGTCGAGTTTCAATATTATATTTCGAGTTCGAGCTGAGTTTGATAATTTTTAGCTCTCAAGTTTTCGAGTCGAGCCTAATTTTAAACTTTTTGAGTTCGAATCGAATTCATCAATACTCGAACTTAACTCGACTCGTTTACAGCCCTACTTCGTTCTCGCAAACCTACTTACCGCTTTGCCCCCTCTACTTTTCTGGTATTACTATATTTACCATTCCAATTTGAAATTTTAGTTTTTATATTCGTTTTATTATTTATGTTAATCATTTGTAACTGTCAATTTTTAATAATTTTTGAAATGTGCATGTCTGAGCGCGGTTCCTTTTTGTTGGTCATATTAGCTATTACCATTTATAGCGAATTCCACTTACACTTTTAACTTGTTTTCTTAATATCTGTTGGTGGAATATGTGGTTTCTAGTATTGTTTTGGTTCTGCAAGGCCTAGATATCACGTATAATTCTACCAAGATGCTTTCCAAGACTAAAAGCATGTAAATAATTGGTGAAGGTGTAAGCTAGTTCTGTTTAGAAGGCTGGATATTAATGAAACTAGTCAGTAAATTATCATTTATTGAAACAGTGCTATTGGTCTTAGGTGGTTATTAGTTGTGATTCTTTGACTTAACAGTCATCTTGTTTTCCAGGATGCCAACCCGGGGACTGACTCGCACACTGATAACTGTCAACAAACAAACGTTGTTCAATATGCCTCGGTTCCAGATGGTTTTTCTGACTTGCAGAATATCGATACGAGAATTAAAGCTATTGAAAAAGCAGTGCTGGAAATGGAAAAGCTTGCAACGATGGAAAGTTTAAATCTCAATTCCAAACTAGAGACTGCTACGAGGCAGATTGAAGAGTTAAGATGTGGTAGCAGCTCACGTCGAGAAAGCGTTAGAGCAAAAAGGCATGTGAATGATAAATAAGTTGAACTTGCAGAGGGACTCGGTAACAGTGTAAAAACGCCGAGGGCAACTCCTGAGATCACTGAAGAGGACAATGGGATGATGACAAAGGACATTATGCTTGACCGGATATCTGAGTGCTCATCCCATGGGTTAAGCCGGAGAGAACCTGCCGAGGTTGATGATCAAATTCTTGAGTTGTGGGAAGGCAGTGACTGTGATGGTAATGTCGACTTGAATGTTGATAAGGCGCAGAAGATTGTCAATGGACCAACGGAGTACCAACGGATTGGTAAAGTGAAGGCACACAAGGGCAATCACCCCTCTACAAAATCTCTTGTCAAGGAGTTGAGTGTAGACAAAGAGAAATCTAAGAGATTTACCGAGCCAGACCAAGAAAGAAACAAGAGGAAGATTTTAGAAAGACTTGATTCTGATGCTCAAAAGTTGGCTAATCTTCAAATAACCGTGAAGGATTTGAAGAAGAAGGTAGAGATAACCGGGAAGGGCCACAAAGGTAAAGGAATTGAATATGGCACGGTAAAAGAGCAGCTAGAAGAAGCTGAGGAAGCCATCACAAAACTATTCGATGTTAATCAAAAATTGATAACGCAAGCTGGAGACGGTTCATGGTCCCATCTTGATGGGAAATCTGCATTAGAATTGGATGAGAGTGGGAGTTTTGGGAGGCAGAGAATATCCGAACAAGCTCGAAAAGGGTCTGAAAAGATAGAGAGGTTGCAGTTGGAGCCTTTGAGGTGCAGAAAATACAGTTTCTCTTTCTGAAGCTTGACGATGAAAAAGAAAGTAGAGGACGAACCAGAACCACCGGGCGTAAGAAACATCAAGAAGAGGAAGAACTCACCCTTTTGTGCATGTCTTCGACCCCAAACTAAATGAGATTGAGGAAGCTACTTGTAATCGGCACATAATCAGTGTACTTTACCTATAATGAGCCTATTGCATTGTCAATAAGTTCACCTTCTTAGAGCTACTTGTAATCGGCACATAATCAGGGTATTTTACCTAAAATGAGACTAGTTGCATTGTCAATAAGTTCACCTTCTTAGAGAGGCTTTATTCTTCTTTAGTTTAGAGATTCTGCTGTATGTGTCAGGTCCAATCTTAATCTAAATGAAGCTGCACTTTTGTAGCCTAAAATTTCCCTTTTCATATATGTTCAAGGTCAAATAAATTTTGTTTTGCAATGCTTTACACTACCTCCTGCAGAAGTTATTTGACACATTCCATTCGGATTTAGTTTTCCGTTCTTCCTCGATGCAGCATGCAGTGTCTGCAAGGCCCGGGAATGAAGTAACAGCGGTATTACTTACCGGTCATTACCAGTCATTCCTGCTTATTAAACTGTCCGGTTTAGATGTAACCATAATGGTACATATGATGCATACATTTCAACCCCGTCCAGCTTATGGACAAGACCTTTCATCCTGTTACTTCAACCCACTTTGTCATGTTGAGTTTGGGTATCATTATCAAGATAACATCACTGAAAATTTTCCAGGAAATAAATGTGAAAGAATCTTAATGAAGAAAAGAACTATGATGTTAAGTGTTAATGACTTTTATAATGTACCTAAGACTTTGACATTGCTCCTTTAAAAGGTGGCACTGTCCTAAGGGCAAAAAATATCTTAAATTTAATTAGCAAAGGTCTGGTATATTGGTCCCCAAAGACACTTTCAACCAATTTTATAAGGTTGGAAACTCGTTATCAAGTACTAAATTTTGAAATTTCATACACCCATATATATATAAAGAAAGGCGAGTTTTTTCACTTCAAATATTAAATAATTTTTTTGTAATATATTCTTCATTTAATTATTTTTCCACTGAGTCCAGTCACTCAAAGGGTCTAATTATGGCCCCAGTAATTGTACTCTTTGATCTTTTGAAATTTAGTCCCTCTACGTTGCTGATATTAAATCTTAATGTACTTGCGTTAAGTTTTAATAATGCTATCAATTGTATTTTGATTTTTAAATCAAAATTTTGAATATTACAATGCCACATATTTGAATCCAATGGAAGTCCATTAACAATTTTAAATTTTTAAATAACACAAGAAAATTGATTCCAAAAATTAAAGTAAATGGACTAAATTTCAAGTCCAAAGACTCAGGGACTGGAGGCATAATTAGACCGACTTAAAATATCTTATTGAACCTAACGTATCAAGTTGGGGCCTTCAACTGTTTGGTATCTAGAAATTTATACTCGTTGACAAGATTTTTCTAGTTCCATCAAAGTTTTTCTTACTCAGAATAGGATGAAATAAAAAATAATAATAAATATCATTAATTATTGTATTTTTTATAAATTATTATCTTATTTATCATTAATACAAAATAAATTTATAAAATTTATTTAAATAATATTAATTATTTATTGTTCACTTTTTATTTGATTAAATGTAAAAATAAGATTTTAAATCATACATTGAGTTAACTTTAGGTGTCTAAAGATTTTTTCCATTAAGAATGCGTGTGTAACATTTTTTTGTTACACTTTTAGGTACATTATCATCAAATTGGACGATATATATAAATTTCAAAATTTTATTTTAAAATAAACAACTCAAAATTATAATTTATTTATAAAAAAATCTCAAAATTTTATAAATAAAAAAACCGAACTTTTCTAAAATCTAAAAAAAATAACTCAAAGCCCTCTCTAACTCCAAATCCTATTAGCTATCTCCAGCATCGTCGTTAAATGGTTATCTAATTATCTCCGTCCACTCAATAACCGGCCATCACTCTTACCGTCATCTAAAAACTCTAATTTCATAAATTCCTAAAATCTCAAGTACGTAAAACCCCAAACTTTTACAACTACCATTGAAGCTTTCATTTCGAGTGGAGAGAATGATTCAAAACTTTGTGTGAAGAAAAGGCTGTCAAAATATTGGCAAGAGGGTTGCCAATATGCAAGAGTAGCGAGAGAGGAGTATAGAATTGTCAATTTGCAGTCTTATTACCGTAGGAATTATCAAAGTATTATCGGCTTCTCTTGTGAGTCGATCAAATTTAATGATCATTACAATCGAGATATCTAAAAATATAACGGAAAAAGAGTTAGTCAGTTATTGTTAACGAAAAATTATTAAGATACCTAAAATTAATTTAAGACATAGTTTAGATATCTATTTTTATATTAAGTTTTTCTTATTTTTTAAATTTATTTGAGATAATATTAAACGTAATCTAATCATGGTTTATAAAATTATTTTATATAAATATATCAAATAATGATATATTTTATTAATTTATATTTATTTTATTTTTAAAGTTAATAATATAAAAGAATGAAAATATAGCATGGGTTTGCAAAAATAAATAAATAAAAGATATAAAATCTTGAAGAGTCCAAATGAAATCTTTGTAAGGTGGAGAGTCAACGTACAGGTGGGGCAGCAAATTCACTCACCACTCACCGTCACAATCCGCACAATCTTTTGGAAACGCTGTCGTTTAACTCCGATAAATAATAGGGAGTCTAATTCTTTAGGCTCATTATATAAATTGGCATATGAATTTAACATTTTTCCTCGAATTAGTGTTTGAATTTTTTTATATTACATTTGATACGTGAATTTTTTATATAGAAATTCGCTAATACAATAAAGATTTATAAGTATAATTTTAAATATAAATTTAATTATAATTAAGACATTTTTTATAACTATTGACATAAAAACTAGTCACCTAAATCACACAAGGAACAAAAAAAGAAAAGATTAAAAAATTTACCAATGCTCAAACAAAATAAATATATAAACAAATTTGACTGCATCGACAAACGAATCCCAAAAGGGGATGAAGTTACTTAGTACCACCGACAAATCGTAAATTAGAGTCAAGCGACGTGAGAAAACTATCCACGAATGCAAAATACGTATCTAAATCAATATGAGAGTCCAAAGCAAGGAAGATCAACATGATAACAAATAAGCGCCATATTGATCAGTCGTGGTGATTTCAAATTCAACCTTAAGAAAAAAGATAAACAAAAACAACGACAAAAAACCGTAAGCTACCAAAAGTCAGAGAAAAATATCATAAAGACAGAGATAAATGTGTCATAAAAACAGAGAACATGTCACAAAACATAAGTATTCTTATATCGATTAAACAAAACGAAGGAAAAAGACAATCGATAGACGACAACCAGCATCAAAATCGATGTTATCGTTGATTAAACAAAATTAAAGAAAAAAAAGTTGAATTGATGAATAAAATTGACATAAATTGTAAAGAGGAAAAAGGGAGGACAGAGGAGTGATATGTGAATTTTAAAAAAATTAAATTGACAGTTTGTTAATTTAGTATCCCAATATCTTGTTATATGATATTAAAACTATAATAAATATATAAAAAATATTTTTACATAATTCATTAATAATAATTTTATATACGAATTTTTTTTGTTGTGAATTTAAAAAAAATTAAATTGACAGTTTGTTAATTTAGTATCCCAATATCTTGTTATATGATATTAAAGCTATAATAAATATATAAAAATATTTTAAGATAATTCATTAATAATAATTTTATATACGAATTGTTTTTGTTAAAAATATATATAATTAATACCTTTTAATATTTGAATTTCAAAATAATATTTTAATTATTTCGAATTAATCATAATCACTTATTTAAAATTTAAAATAAAATAATTTAAATGATATATTATTTTAATCATTCAAAAATAAAAAAAATATATTATAAATAAATTTTAAAAAATATTATTATATATAAAATATATCAATTTAATATATAATAACAATTTAAAATAAAAATAAAAATAAAAATATAATAAAATATATTTTATAATAATTCACTATTAATATTTTAATATATAAATCATAAATTTTATTTACTTCTAAGTAATTAAAATAAAATATTAAAAAATAAATTATTTTATAAAATATGTTAATTTAAATTATTGAAATAAAATATAAATACATAATTAACAATGAAAACTGAATTTCAAAGTTCTTTTCCGTAACAAATGAGTAGAATTTATGCATTATTAAGAGTAAAAATATAAATTTTCTTCTAAACGCAAAGTTAAAAAAAAAAAAAATAGAAATCTTAATATTGTAATTGATTTGAAACCACTGTTTTTACAACAATTTTTTTTTCAATTTGTATCCATCAAGTATTGATTTTACGGTTAAAATAAAATTTCAAATTAAAAACGTTTTTAGAATGCATTATCAAACGCACTCATGAATAAAACATCGTTAGGCACTTTATTACAGGGTTATGCTGTCTTTATAATTTTACACAATTCGATTTCCCCTTAAATTATTAAAACAAACAAGGTGACTGTAATTTACTTCAAAAAATAAATTTATAATTTCTTATATTCTAATATTTAATTAAATTATCAAATAAAATAAACAAAATATAATTTTATGACAATGTATATAATACATAAACAAGTTAGTGCCATTAGTTAACTAAGTACAACTTAATTGAGAGTTGGTGTTATAAATTATAAGTACAACTTAATTGGAAAATGATTAAAATATTGTAAGAATTTTTAATTTTTATATAATAATTAAAAATATCTATTTCATATTTAAGAGATGACTATCCAGCTCAGTTAGTAGAGCATAAAGTTCTTAATCTTGAGGTCGTGGGATCGAGTCTCACGGAGGGCATTTCATAATTCGGAGGTCTTCTACGGAAGCTGCTCTCAACCTGGTGTTGGGGGCAGCCTACTATCTTACCTCTCCCTTATCCCATTACATATGGAAACAAGGGACAATCATTTTTAACCATATTTAAATACAAAAATATGAATTTATATATTCTTTATTGTTTTATTTATAATTATTTATTAACTATGTATTAAAATATTTTATATAAAATATTTTCGTTCAATTATATCATAATCATCATACAATTTAATACAGTATAATTTGATTCGATTATAATAATATCATCATAAGCTAGCGTCGATGACAGCATATAATTTACCCTGCACCGTTTCGCAGGGAATCCAAAACCTCTCCATCTCAGTCGCCCGTGCACTTGTTTTGTTCCTTTGCTGCAAAAAAGGAAAAA